TAAGAAATAATAAAATATTTTTTAAAAGAAAAATATATTTATCACATAAATATCTGGAAGATGTCAAATAAATTTTCAAATTCTGTAATCAGTTTAAAGGAGAATAAAGAAATACAAATAGTAATACTGATTAAGAACACTGAGATGACTATATTTAAAAAAGGAGGAAGAGCCGCATTGACTATTGTGTTTGTAGAGGCCAGCTGAGTCTCTACTGAAGATTTTATGCATGTCGGGTAAACGAGGACTTCAGTAGTGGTGGGAAAGAGCATAGACACGATTAAAACTAGTGTCTAATGCATTACAGAGGATGTATCCTACAAACAAACAATTGCCATTGGCATAAAAATTGTGCTAGACGGTGAAAAATAAGAATGTGAAATTAATTTCCCTAAAGGGAGGGATGTATTCACTAAGGTGGGCCGTTTTGTAACATGAACATTTCTAGACTGAAGGATGATCAGAGTCTAGGGGACACCAATGACATCACAGCCTCTTGGTTGTCATAAAGGACTCTGATGATTCATGAGGAGCAGAGGTAAACATGTGGGTGGTGTTTGGAGAGACTCAGGCCAGAAGAGAAGTAGCGTTGAGCTAAACCCATCAAACAACCACCATGTCTGGGAAAAAGCAAAGACGGAACATATCTCGCTCCACAAGAGCAGAGCTGCAATTTCCTGTCAGCCGGGTAGACCGCTTCCTGCGAGAGGGAAACTCTGCCCAGCGTCTGAGCGCTACTGCACCTGTGTTCCTTGCTGGTGTACTGGAGTGCCTGACTTCCAACATCCTGGTTCGGGCTGGAGAGGAACCCCACAGCAAGCGCAGGAATCACATCACCCCAGAGCACGTCTGTCAGGTGGTACAGAACAACCGAGACCTTTTGAAACTCTTCCAGGATAACACCAAATCACTGACTTTTGAAGAACCAGAACTCAATGAGAACTGATGATGCCTGGGTCTTAGAGGCTAGAGGGCCACTTCTTTCCTCAGCCTCAGCCAGCCCCAGTATACCTCCAGCTGAGGTTGCTAATCAGACATGCCATTAAAGCATCTAGATCATGTCAGTGTTTCTGAACGCTCAGCTTGTTATTTTGAGATAGAGGTGGCTGTGAGACGCTCAGGAGGTATGGGTGGAGGGGTGGAAGCTGTGGTCATCTTGGGGCGTCTAAACCTTGATTTCTAATGGGGATATCTCAGGCAGTGACCCTCCGTGGGACAGGCGCCTTAGGGTCAGGGTAGAGAAGGCATCCTGGTGGGCTGTGAGCACAGAGGCCTTTGAAGGCCAGAAAGTTGGTTTGGGGTTCCCAAGTATGCTGGATTCTGAGTGTGATGCTGCTAACAGGAGTGGTGGGTGAAGCCCTGAACTGTGGTGGTCTTCATTCGTGGGAGGGAAGCACACAGATCAGTTGGTCACAGGCAATGCGGTGAGGGAGACCACTGCATAGAGACGAGCATGCCAGCAGCATGAGCTTAACAGGTGGGAGCGTTCACACAAGCAGTGGCTTCTTCACAGGACGATGGGAGATAAGAATCCCTTTGTCTCTGATTTTGTAAGTATAAGCCTGCTTGTGTCTGCTTGTGTGCTGCTTCTCACAGTGGCACAGCTATACTATCCTGTTTCCAGATGTTCAGGCTGCTTCTCCAAGGTGCCTCTGAGCCTAGTGTTCAACTGACCATTGGGAACTACTTACTATGACAACAACCCTCTGTTGTCCCTTGAGGCAGGACAGGAGATTGACATTGCAGAGGACTGAAGCAAGCGGTGAAGGGAATATCAGGCACACATTCTTTTCTCTTCTCTGCTCCTTCTGACTGGCGATTCCCTCTATCTGCCTTGGTAGACGTAAAAAGGCCTTCTTCATTTATAGGAGTATGCTGAGAATACAAGAAAGAGCACCAGGATTGTGCTTCTGGTTCTTGGAATGCATTCTGGTACATATTAAATACAACCAAAAGAGTGAAGGTATAATGTCTCTTTACACTAAGCAGAAGCCTGCTAGTAAGGCTATGTTAACTATATGCAAATTAGAATCCCGAAGAAAATATAGAAAATATGAGTCAATTAATATTATATTGGTAAAATAAGTTCATCTATCATGAACATATAATACTCTCAAATGTAAATATTTTATTAGTACTACTTTATAATACAACCAATCAATACCCCTATATCGACTAAACTACTTTCTACCTTGTGTATTTTTAGTCTTGATAGTGAAAGTTATTTAAATGAGATCCTAAATTTATAATATAAAGTTTACTTCAATATTAAACAATTTTCCCATGCTATTTTCACATAAATATAATTGTATTACTATTATTTAATAATATGTATTACATGCATATTAGCTCACTAAGCATAAAAGCTGATAAAACTCAAGGAATACATAATGTATATTAGAATGAATTTAACATCATAAATTTTGTTCGGTAATCACTGTACTAAAACTTGTTACATACACTCATTGCATTAAATGTAATACACACTCATGCAATCAAAGGTGCATATTTAGACATGTTAACAATTCATAACTCTATCAACTCATTATACATTTGATATTATAAGACTATGTAAAATAAATATGAGTACACTTTTACTCTAGTCTTGTTTGTTTCTCAGATTTATCCCCTGAGTATAGTAGAGTATCTTATGCATATCTTTTTACCATAAACAGTGTTAATTATGCATATGTTTTTACTTCCTATTATGTATACACATTTGTATACTAGTATATAGACACTCAGATATGGATGGATAGGCGAGAGACCCACTGTACGTCACAGAATCTATGTATCTTCTTGGAAAAAACTGTGTATGTGTCATTCCCATCTTCCATAGCCAACCACTTTAGAAATTACATGTACTGAATATACTGTGATCACATTAACCCGTTATTGCCCTTTCTCATCCATGCTGCCTTCCTCCCCTCTGACTCCCTTCTTCCTCCCAACTTGTCCTTTCTGCTCTCATGGTTTATTTATTTTTCTTATTTTGTGCAGGTCTTATACAGCTGCTGTGTGTTAATGATTCCAACAGTCATATCATATTTAGATGACACCATTTCATAGCTCACCTTTCCATTCTCCAACTCTGAAAAGTTTTCCACATCTTCTTCCGTAATGGTTTTGGTTCTTGGAGTGGGTGATAAAGATGTGTCTTTTGGGTCTGAGTACTCAACAGCCTCTTATTCTCTTTGATCAGTTGAGAGACTGTGCATTAACTGTCACCCTCTCTGACATAGGCTAAAAGCAGAATTGGCCATGTGTATGAATGCATATGATTAGGAGGCAGTTTGGCTATATTTCCATCTAACTAATCAGTAGTAGTAGAGTTTTCTATAGGACCTGTGACCTCCCATTCTTAGGTTTGGACCAGGTTTACAGTATTAGGTATATGTCCCTTCCCAAGGAGCCAGCTTAAATTAAACTAGGAATATTGCTTAACTCCCAAACATTCTTGTCACCAACAGTTTTTAATTTCTGGAAAAGAATCCAAATGAATTAGTTAGGATTCCCACTTCACAAATAAATTTTTGCAGCATGTTCAATGTTTTATAACATGAAAAATATTAAAGGAAGTGCAAGATTTCTTAAACTGTGTTTAAAAGATAATGGAAATGCTGGGCATGATGGCACATGCTTTTAAACCCAGCACTGGGGAGGGAGACACCAGGGGGTTTCTGTGAGTTCCAGACCAGCCTTTTCTACATAGCAAGTTCCGGGTTAGTTGGGGCTACAGGGAGACCTTGTCTCAAAACAAAACAAAACAAAACAAAACAATAAAGTAATGGAAGTATGGAAATATTAGTACATCGTAAAATAAGGTAATGTTCTCTCTAGAAGACACTGGAATCAAATATGGAGGAAATCTAGACTAAGCATTAAATGAGTTTAAACAAAAAGTGAATATTTTAAACATTTTTCACTTTTTTCTCTTAAAATTCAGCTGCAGAAATTTGGGAAAAAAATGTAGTACATGTTCTGGTGGTGCTGATAGAAACAAAACCTTAATGAGAAGATAAGTTTAATATAGGAAACTATGTTGCCAGCAAATCTTTCCTTTCGTTTTCTTGTTCCACAGTCTATTAAACTTGGATACTGAACAAATTCTAAGTTTTAAAATAAACATTGCTTTTGCACATAGTCTTTAAAAATTATACCATACATCAGATTTAAAATGTTTTCAGGCTGTAATTGGTTTAATGAGCATGTGAGACTCCAAGCTTCCTATTTAAGTGCTGAAGTTTCTGTTCCTATTTCCCAGTATCTTGCTGTTGAATTGTAATTGGACCTAAACATTTAAACTTGCAGGGCATTGTGGCAGATGCCTTTAATCCCAGCACTTGGGAAACAGGATCAGGGGATCTCTGTGAGTTCAAGAGATGGCCTGGCCTATATCGTGAGTCCCAGGCCAGCTGGGGCTACAGGGAGACCCTGCCTCAAAAAGGCCAAAAAATTTAAACTTCCATGTAATAAACATAATTATAACACAGACAAGAGAAACTGTGCCTGATCACATCAATTGAATCCAGGGCCTCATTTTGTCTATAATTTAGTATCATGAATGTCTAGAAGTAAGCATTTTCAATATGATTAGTCGATAAATACATTGGAAAATAGACAGAGCTTTCCTTAAAATATAGTCTAGTTAAGCTTTAAAGGAGAGTTTCTTATGCTAATGGACAAGAGTCAGTTCTTGGGGAAATTTTTTGCAGACTTTATGTAACAGTGAATTTTAAATTTCATCCAAATTTTCAGTTTTCCTGAAACTGAAAAGTATCCTACTTTGAAACTAAACCTCAATTTAGAAGTTTGTAAAAATGAGAAGAGTTGCTATTTTATTTCTAGCAATTGTATCTAAAAACATCAATGAGGACTTACCAGTTCCTAAAATGTCTGTCTCATATTATGTAAGAATAAGGAATTACATAAAATGTTTGGTGATTTGGTACATAGAAGAAGCACATCAAATACTTGAAATTAGTTATTTTAACTGAACAGGAAAGGGAGACTATTAAAAACATTTTTTCCTAATTACTAATTCTAAGCTTAAGGATTGATATCTTCATTACTTCCTTCTATTTCAAGTTTATCTGTTGTTGATATTTTAAAGTAAAAGCCTAAAAAATTACACTTGCAAAATTTATTTTTAAAAAAAGCATCACTATTTTGTCAGCTTAGAAAGTCAGCAGAGGTGATTTAGAGGCTTGTAGATGTATGGAGAAGAGACTCCCAGAGCAATCTGCACTTATGCTCTAATTTTTAAGTTTACTTCTTCCGTCAGCTAAATTTACTTTCAATTATGTTAATATAAGTTTTATCATTCCCATCCTAGTTCATCTGCTACAACATTCAGAGTCACTGAATTACATTTTCCCCTTCATAGGAACTATGAATCAAACCAGTTTTAGAGGAGGCTTTAATATTTTTTCTTGTCTGGTAATTTTATCCTTGACTGCAAAAGAAAAATCAATCTTAAAATGTTGTTGTGCAATAATAAGCAAAAGCGATTATGAGTTCATGGTATGAAAATTTTAATTCTGGAAATGAGGGTGCTGATATGCCCAATCTCTGTCATCTGGATCACCAATGTTCAAGTTCTTTGCTAAATGAATAACTCCCCTACCGACACTAATTCATGCAATTTTTCTCTCTGCAATATCAATTTGTGAACATCAAGAATTACTTGTATGCATATTTAAATATGAAGATGGAATGCATGCTTTCTAGCCTGTGACAACTGTCCTGTATTTTATATCAGCCGGACATTCAGTGGTGAATTATAAAGTCCAGGGAACCACTTTGGTAAGCTCTTGTATAGCTGTCTTGGGAGGTAGAAGACCAAAGCTTTTGTTAGGAAAGTGGAGTCTGTCAGGAGTAATTCTGCTCTTGCCATTTATTTACACAGAAAAATGTTATACATGAGATTTTTTCAGATATTTGTAA